GTTGATACCATACCATAGGCTTAAAGAAGTGTTTAATTTAAAGAAATATTTTGTTAGTATTTAAGCATTTTTGCCTCAAATTAATGATTCATTCGACGAATTTTTGAATTCATAGAAATATAAATATGAAAAGAAAATACATTATTATTACAATTATTTATATTTATTCAAATGCTATGTTAAGCACTATTTGATGCACTCGACTATTGATATAACATTAGAACAAAAAGCTTTTCTAATTAATTGATTTGTTTTTTAATTTGGAAAAACAATACATTTTTACACAAAACAAGTGTTTTTTGACAAAATCCGAAAACAAATGATGAAAAATACTTTTTCTATAATACCTGTGATCTTAAAAACAAAAATATATTCATTGTAAAGAACTGAACGCACGAACAGATTGTGTGCTAAATATCTATCAAATGATTGATTGATTGAGAATATGATGAATAGTTTCCATAAATAGAAATATAACTCAAAATCAATTGATATCTTATATTCGATGCTATCATTCACACCATGGGATGAATGGCATCATAAGACAAACATAGGACGCCTTAGAATTATTTAATTGATATGAAAATCATTATTAAAGTCAGTTTACAATCAGATCATGACTGATAAGAGATACGGAAAACTTTTGACAAAATGTTCATGAATATAGAGTTTCAATTACTATATAGTGTACAAAATATTTAACAATTAATTTTTGTAGATATGATATCAATCCCAATGATATCATTAAAGTAATTATTAGTTGTGTTTTAGTCATACGAACGACAATTAATCTAAAAATGAAACGATTATGTAATCGACCCTTAATTTGCTGACCATTTGTTTGAATGAAACATTTTTCTTAAATTTAGATTTAGTTCTCAACTAAAAGAGCGTCTAATCTATGGTTTACTTCCTTTACTCTAATGCCTCATATGCCTCATGAGTACAGAGTTTGTGATTTCTAATTAATAGATAACATTACATAACAATAACACAATACCGGCGCTTGAGTTCAGGCCAAACGACAAACATAATGACATACTATAGACATATCCCGAGATTTATATATTTTTTAAAGTCTTTAATTGAATCACTCTTTTCCTTACAGTTTGTTCCCTTTTTTTCCTCAATTATAAACACAACTATTGTTATGATTTGGCTCTTAATATTAGTAACCGCTAACAGACTACCAGTGCTTTGATCTCTAATTTTTAATTTATTTGTAGCGGTTGTGACAACTTTTGAAAAGCCATTAATTTGTGTTTCGGTTCTAGAGTTTAAACAGTTTTCAAATTCTAATAATTATAACTCATTTTCTGCACTAATGTCTAATATTTTGTTTTATTTCTCTTTCCAATCGTTGAGTTTTTGTCATTTTTTCTCAAATTATTGTTTTAGTTATAAGTAAATAGAGAGAGAATCCGATATTTTTTTGACAATCATTTGAAACCCAGAAAACAGACACAAAAATCCTTTATATGAAAGAATTGTTGGAAATTATTACTAATATTTTCTCCAATTTCAGAGTAAAAAGTAATCTATTGTTAAAATTACTGACAAATTTTTGTGAACAGAATATTCTGTAAAATAACTTTAATTATTGAGTAAACACTTATAAAAAATTGTTTTTTAGAGCGAAAACACTGTTAAATATGTTTAAAGAGACGGATATATTATAATAATGACTGATATTAAGTCTGATGTATATTTGGGCACATTATTTGATATTTATATTAATTGTAAGGCTATGTATAAAAAGACAAATTAGTTGAACACTAGTCATATATATACTGTATATTGAATGATTGATAAATCAAATTAAGAATAATGAATAAATAAATAAATTTCACAATAAAATGAATGGAAATTGTATTTTATTGATTTCAATGTTTAACTCCCAAAGCGATACCTAAACCACTAAAAGTGTTGTGAAATAAAGTCTTAAGTATTGGCAAAGAATAAGTGCAAAGAATTTGAATAAAAATTACTAATTATTGATAAGTGACTAGAAATGGACACTTTATTCCTATGAAATAACTTCCAATCGTTTGCACTATTCTTATGATACAATAAATGAATATAAACTGAAAACTAGAGGAAAGTTAGTGTTATTTATCACTTTATTTGATGGCGAGAATGATATGACATTTAATGTTATCGTCACAAATGGCGTCAAATGTAGTGCTCTTTAGTTGGAGTACATATCAAATGAAAATTCATTTAAATTAGATTTTCGTGTAATTTTATATACATTTGTATTTAATTATATTAAACAAGAATTTATATGTTTTCATAGCATTTCTGCTGCTTTGCTAAAAACTTTTGGCACAAACAGTGCACTCATTAGACAGGGATCTCATATGAGATGATATACAGTATTCTTTACACAACAGTTAATTCACTTCATATGCAATACTCTATAGAAATAATAGTCTCGAAAATCTAAAGTCTATAAAAGAAGTCATTATTAAATAAACGGTTCAATAGTTTCATATGATATCGAAGGAAAGGCTCATAAATTATATGAAATCAATGGTCTGTTAAGCGAAAGACTGACTCAAACTTCTGATTCTTCGTCTTCTTCTCGTTGTTTCGAAACATTAGTTTTGAAGTCCTATTGAATGAGAAAAATGCAAATAAATGCGTTAAAAGGTTTCAAAAGGCATATGAAATACGGGTCATATGAAGGGAAAGCCTTTTTAAAGGCTTCAATTACTTCGAGCTCTTTCCTCAACACCTCAATGAGTGTTCGCATCGACGCGATGTCTGCCTTCTGGATGGTCTCTAATTTAGTCAACTGTTCCGTCAATGACTTGTTGGTCGTCTCCAGCGATTCCACTCTTTCGGACAACTCGTTCACTCTGTCCGTCAGCTCCGAGTTCTCACTGTTCAGGTTCTTCACGATCTGCACCACATCTGCCATTCGGTTCTTTGACTTATCCTTTCCGTCACAACAATACACAATAATTAAGATTTTATCACTTTTTTATTCATACAATCAATGAATTCATTAATGGCTCAACGAATGAATGAAAGAATGAATGAATTTCTTTCACTTGTATTTCCATTTCAATGAATCACTTTTCAAATTACGGAATAAGTATTACTATATTATATTCATTACTAATGAGTGGAGAACTAATGAATTCAAATGTGTTTTATAATAATAGTTTGCAGGCATTTGTAATTATTTGTGTGAATTTATTTCTGTATATAAATAACTTATTTCTGATTTACATTTACAGAGTCACAGGAGTTATACAATATATTCTCATAAATTTATTCGTTTTATGTCAAATATCCTTTAAATCCCAATGTTTTGATTAATGATTAGAAATATTTCACTCTAATCTCAAATATAAATGTATAAAAATATCAAAAATTTAAAGCATAGAATTTCAAACACTTTCTCTCATTAAAAAAAAGTATTATAAATCCGATATTAGAGATAATAATTAGCAATATGTTTGAAATATAATTTAACGCAATTTTTAGTTTTTGAAGTGTACTGTAGGTATGGTATGTCATTGAGGGTGCTATACATTGGAGAATAAATTAGTATGAAATTGGATACCAATTCACTCTTATCATTGGAAACAGTATTAAATTTAAAACAAATATAAACTATTTATAATAAATCATTTAATAGCGAAAATGTGAACTCAAGCGAAATCAACTTTTCTGTCAAAAGTATTAATTATAAAAAATAATTATTTAATTCTAGTTTTAAGGTCTGTTTATTATTGTATTCATATATAATGGGAATAAATGACATATCGGTCACGACCTACCTGTCCATTAATGTTATTGTTTTGGAGAATATATTTGAGAATTATATCCATATGTGTGGACCAAATGGCTTCGTGTTCATCCACTTCCAGTTGTGTCCCCTTTATATCAATACAAAGACAATGCATTCACTTCCAGAACTACATCTTAGCAGACATTCACTCATACCATGTATTTACAGCCCAATGGCTTAAGTCTACAATTAGTTGGTTTGAGGGAACAGTTCTCCAAATGTGACTTCAGGTCCTTCTGAATGATAGTCTGTTTGTGACAATACATACAACTGACAGGTCTTTTGGGACAACTCTTCTCGTGCTCTTCTCTCGTATCCCAAGCGATGTCTTCTTCGCAATACTGACAGCCAATGATTCTTCGGCGGCAAAGACTCGCCATATGTTGCGGCAAAGACTTGATGGTAATGGCCTGACCACACTTCAGGGGGCAGTGCACTAAGCCGTACATACAGGCCTTCAAATGGGTCTAAGAGTATAAGCATAGCAATCAACAAAATAGTCTAATATTGCGCTAAAAACAGCAGAAAAAGTTTGTGAAAGTATTTCATTGAGGAATATATGAAGGAATATATTATATATACCTCCAGTTCCGAGAGCGCCATTACTTTACGACATCCCCGGCTTTTGTGGGAACAGTAGACCTCCTGCTCTAAGATAAGCTCAGTGTTGGCCGAGTCGTCCATTGCCTGCAATCGGATTCACAAGTGATTTGCCATTTAATTACACTAAACATCGATATCTCTTCCCATAGAGTATACAATCAGTGAAGTATTGATACGAATATTACAAATAAGTTATTGAAGAGAGAGTACAGAGAGCTATAAATATGGGACAAAAGTAGTGCCCCTTCTCTACCATACACTGCAATGGATAGGTTTGGCACCGCTTTCAGTAACCGCTGTTACAGTGCAGGTAAGGCATAGCTATCATACCTGAGCTCAGGTACTCTCACAGGTATGCAAACTACACAACAATTGAGAGGAAATTGTTATAATGGGCGTGCATTGCGCAATACTTTTCATATAGAATAGTACCAAATGTGAGATAAAATGTTATACTCTATAATGTGTATATTAGTCCCATTTATACCTAAGCATTGTTGCGCAATGCAAGCCCATTATAACAATTCCCTCTCAATTGCTGTGATTATACATAACATACGCTTACGGGTGCTGTGCCTAAGCCCTGCCCTAAACAGGCTTACAGTCAATGAAAAGATACGAGAATTGCATTCAAAATATGCTTCAAATGAATCCTGAATTGAGAGGCAATTGATTGGATTCACACGACTCTAGCATTCATTGCTTTCAATGAAACCATTCCTCTTAAGTAAACACCAATTGTTATATCAATACGAGTGCTCTCTCTCTCTCTCTCTCTCCCTCTCTTTGCAATCAGTTATCAAACATTCAAATATAGGTTATATTTGTTATCGCTTTTAATACATCATTAAAAACACTGAACAATACGTGAGAAATACATGGCTCAGGGTATGGGTATAGGCGATGGCCTGTCCCGTCATAAGCACCCGGGTATAGCACATCGTATATGATAGTATAGGCGCTCAACAAACCTCTTATTCATTGATAGATGAATTGGTGGACTAATAGTTGTCCGGAAACGAGCATAAGATGACAATTAAATGTATTTCATATAATATTTAATTAAAACCCAAATCAACAAAAGCTTTACTAGAGATAAGAAGTTCTCGTAAATAGTTTTGTATTCAAAATATGCATTCAATAGATATTCTGTTATCTATTCATATCTCTATAGAAACCAATTGAAAACTCCCTTACAGTGCATGCATTCATACAGTTTATGCCACTTATTGTCAACACATTTACCAATTAATTCTCATTCATTTCATTATTTAATTTAATTATTCAATACCTAATATGGTGTAGATCTACCTTGGTGCTTCACTATAAAATTTGCCTTAAGAATTACATAAATAATTATATCTTAAGATATAGGAATTAGTGTTAAGAATAGCACATATGATGTAAATATATATATTAATGTAATCAAGATTACTGTTTAAATAAAAGTTTTAAATAAGTTTCATACAAATCATAAAATATTAGCCAAAATCTGAATCTCAATACAAAAGTAGCAAAAACTTTGAGATTCTGAATGAACTCAAGAATCGATTGAATGAAAGTCAATGTGAGACCAGTTGTGGACGTAATTCGTGTGAATTTATCTGAAAAGTGGTAAACAATGGCAGACATCCGGAAGAGTTTAACCAAATTTAAAGTGATTGAACTGAAGGAGAAATTACAAGAATTGGGGAAAACACCAAAAGGTATGACCAATGAATGTCTCGTGAAGCCATGTCTGACGTGCGATGAACTGACAGGTCTTAAGGCGGATCTAATCAACCAATTGGCCGAAGCCTATGAGGAGCAGCAGAAGGGATTGGCGGACAATGGGTCCCATTCGGCGCCATTGCAGGCATACCCGTCACCAGAGATAGTGAACGCTTCCCTGTTAACCACGGAAGCCAATGATCCGCAACACTATTACCAACAGCCGGTTCCGCAGTATTCAATGCCTCCCCAACAGGTCTACGAACAGACGCCGCCTTACCTCCAGAACCCATACGAA